ACACCCACACCCACACCCACACCACACCCACACCCACACCCACACCCTGGACTTCTCCCCTAGTAGTAACAACGAAATAATGAAGTCCACATGTACCTTGTTTAATGTCTCGAAATTTTACAATGATACAATGTAATAGAATGATCAGAGGCATGTCCTTAAAAATCTAATAAATGAGGAAATGGAGACTTTGGAAAACATGAAATTGTTATATAGATTGAGAAAAATACAACTGTAAACCTAAAGATATAATCATGTAAAGTAAATGCAGACGATTGAAAGATGGACACATATTAAAAAGAGAGTCATCGAAGAGATCCTGATCGTCTCTGCTAATAACTTCCGAAGCTTCTATAGAGAAATCAATGCGGCGAACTAATCCGTTGGTTATCGCATTAATCCAATCCATATAGAATGTAACGCGCGTATAGACACCTGAATATTCGGGAAGTCCACATAGTTTCCCGTAGGAGGTGATACCGGCCAAAATCCATTGTCTTTCTGATGTAAATCTCATCAACGGACCACCTGAATCACCCTGACAAGTGTCTAAAGCGAAAAGATTCGATATTCTCTGTAAGAGTTTTCTTATTGAATGCTTGTACCTTTTCCTCCCATCTCATCACCAGCACAGAATTGTACGGATCGATCAAAGATCATGTCTTCGCATGTTTTACTTTCATATGGAATTGCTTTCAATGTGACTTGTTGAAGTTCTCTAGACGGTAAACGATCATTCTGATCCAGTTTTCCCCAACCGACTGCGACAACCTCAATTACGGATATTGTTAAGCAATGGATTAGACAATTAGAAATTGTGCACTTACTGCCGAGTTCACTGGTGGATATTCATTCATATCGATTGTTGGTTCGTTTTCGTCTGGTATTGTATCTAGGAATAAAAACAGAGTTAAAAGTTTCGATTATAGTATTTTGCATGAGAAACATCTTTGTGGGAAAAGAATTTTTATAGAATGAAATTGAATAAATTCTCAGATCGTAACGACCGGTATGAACAATCTGTAGGTGACTTATCCTTCTATTAGTCAAATAAGATACTAGTTATCAATGTCTTTACCTCTTATAGCAGGCAAACATATTTTAGCTATGGATAGATCGGTCATGTCTAATGGTGATGTAAGTTGAATAAGAGCTATATCAGCGACAAAAGTGTGTTGGTTGAATTCTGGATGTACAATAATTTTTGCGATATGTCGATGTTGAGTACTATCATTGAGTTGACTGGATCCTGCATGGACGATAATATCAGAGTGATCTCGTCGAATAAAACAATGTGCTGCTGTTAACAGCCAAACATTGGATATGATCGATGCAGCACAAAAGTATTTGTTAGTTGGATGATCGAATAGAGATACAATCCAAGACCATGAACGCGGTTGGGCAGATTCTCCACCAACAATCTTTGCAAGTATTGTCAATCTGGTCGAACAACCACACGATGCTCGTATGTTGCATGCGTATTCATGCTCACAAGCTACTTTTGCTGTGGCAACAATCACTAGCAGAACTGGTAAGAAGAGCATTAATCGTTGTAAAAAAACGAATGAAATGATTTTTTTTCATTTTTTGTCCACAGTTAAAAAACGAACTATTTGTTTACATAAGGAATTTTTTCTGTGTTCGTATAAGCCAAATAAGTTTTTTTCTCTTTGCTGATTCTATGCGTTAATTAAGAAATTTTTTCTTTCGATAACAAAAACTTCTTCGGCGAATAGTTGGGTGTGAGTAATGAATGTGGGTGGGTGTGCGGGTGGGTGAGATAAATAAGATACATTCAGATTTACACCTTTCAATTTATATATTTGTGTTTTATTTTAGAAATAGATCAAAAAACAAATATATAAAGAGAATTAAGGAAACGTTTTGAAATATCAAAGAATAAATTACAGATAATTCAAGTAAAATAAATATTTAGAAAAATGATGCGAATAATAATACTAAAACGTAAAATAAATAACATGAATTTCATAATGAAAATTAGAATAAATAAGAAAGAACACTAATACCAAAAACAATCATATCTTAACTTCGACAGTATATCAAATCAGATGGAAGTTTCAGATGTAGCTTGATAATAAAAGATTGAGTTTTGTTTAAAAAGATATATTATTCAATATTCTATTCGACTTATAAAATCAAATGTATAAGCTTTTATCTTGTTTTATTCAGTTCAAAAAAAATCGAACTAGTAAAATACTAATGTATAACTAAGGAAAGAAAAAGCATTAAAAAATTTTATTGAAGAATTTTTCAAGTTATTCCACTTTATTTTCTGCATGGACTTGAAAAATAGCAGCTAGTTGATTAATAATCATCTTCAGATAAAGATTGTCCTCTCGTTTATCTATAAGTTCATTAAATTTATTGACTAGTGTGAGACATGTATTTCGTGTATATTCGATTGAATCAAATTGATGTAATAATTTAATAGCTTCTTGTTTGAGAACGTCACTCAGTCGAGTATCATGTGGATGAGTGTTAAGAGCATGAATGATTGGAAATGGGAATTTGCCTTCAGTTATGTCATCACAGTACGACTCGTTTTGTGTATATTTTTCCGAAATTAAATTACAATAATCATCTCGAATTTGAAAGAACAATGCGAGAGCTTGACATAAATCATCAATCAATTCATTTTTCTTGATGTTAGATTCCATTGGTAAAAAAACTCGTAAAAATTCTATAGCCAAATGAAAGAGTCTACCACATCTTCCAGTAATCATTTGACAATACTCGTCTTCTAACGGACACATAATTATATCGCTACCAATGATCAAGACCTTGACTTTTGTGCAATTCAACCAAGTGATTTATAAAAACAACTCACTATATCATTTAGAATGAAACTCAAACGACTTACCAACTAGAATAGATCCTACATGATGATGATCAAATTTAAATATTGCTTGCATAGTAAGAAAACAAACAAGTTCTGCTGTGTTTGATTGTTAAAGGAATTCCATAAATCGTATGAGCAGCTTCTACACCTCCTCTCATTAAAGATTCATCTTCAATATCATCAAGTAGTAAACTTGTATTGTGAAGTTTATTGATAATATCATCGATAATAAAAAAAATTTTCTTCAGGTGTTTTGAGCCAGTAATTAAACGCATGAATTAGTTTTGTTCGAATATTTTTTCCGGATCAACATCGTTTGAAACAGGAGCACTATCTAGAATATCGTCGGTCAAGAAAAGTAATGTCCATATATCACACGCTTCCGCAATCTAGCTTGACTACAATGTGGAATAGATAATGCTGACAAGAGATTATGTTTGTGTATCGATTCTTTGTACGGAATACCATGAGAGTTAAGCCAAGCTTCTCTTGCATCTGATACTAATTCATATGCTGGATTGCATTCAAGCTTGAATGGACAAGTACTGATTAAATCAGGTAAAAGAATACTATTCGAATTCGCCATATCCATGAAAAAACAGATTTTTTTCAGTTGGAATCTAAAAGTAGACTGATTGAAGTTTAACTGCACAAAACAATTTACTAAGGTCTATATTAGTACATAGATACAAAGAATACCTTACCTCTTTTTTTTTTTTACATTTATACATCGGAGTATATTTTGAATATATGTCTTCTAATTCAGCAGACAATGATAAATCTCGGCGTAATTTATTTACTTCTTTAGTATATAAATCTCTTATAACTATTGTTGTATATTTCGAATTTCTAATTAAAATATATTTAAGTAAATAAAAATAAATGACAAAATATTGATCATATATAAAGTAAGTAGTAACGAATATTATTACATTCTGCTGTCGAGTGTAAATTTCTCATCGTACTTACTTGTTGATATTCGTTTCATATACTGAATATACAACAATAGTTTTTCGTATATTTACATGTATAATTATCGATAATAGAAGAGACAAAATAATAATAAAATAAAACAGATATTGCGTACATTCTTTTTTTTTCTATACATATACTATTCTGATAGGATGCATCTTATATGTTTGACGTCAAATACTCATTGTTAGACGCATGATATTCTTATATCTTTTCTCTTTCTACACATCAAAAAAAATAATACGTTTCATAATCATGCTTCATATGTTAATATTTTTCGTGTACTGACTCATTATCCTTGCTATTACGCATTTATTCTTTGACTATGCGCACTTGCATTGCGCTTTTTGATTGACTTTGTGGCTGTTAACTAATCGTGCATTTATTATTTTTACCAATAAACTTTCAAATGTATTAAACATTACATTTGATACAGCTAATTGAAGATTTTGATGTCTTTTCATTAAATAAATATAATATTATTATTCTTTTTAACGAGATATTTGTTGAAAGTATGTTTGAAAAAAGCATTAATGGATCAAAAATGGTGTGTTTTTAGAACAAAAGTGAATCATAACTATTACATAAAAAACATAATTATATACGCACAACATTTTCTAATATAGAAAATTATTACAATGTGTTTTACTTGTGACTTATATTTAAAGAATTTCCACTATTCGAAGATAGTCGACAAATGAGAAAACAAAATTAAACTCACCTTTTCTGCACAAAATTTATTTCGCAAGAGACTATCAATAATTGATATTTATTTATACAAAAAAAAAGAATAGTTGATATATATGTGTAATGCATTCGGTACTATGAGATTTCTCGAACAAACAAGTAAATCATTGTTCAGAAATATTCTTATATTATATTTAGTTTATTATAGAAAACTAATTACAAACTATTTTTTTGTCATTTCTGTCATTTGAGTCATTTTTATCATGTTGTTTTCACCTAAAGTCATTACTCTCTTCCTCTTTTTTTTTCATTTTATTAGTGATATATAAAAATCAGTCAAGTGAATAGTCTTACATTTGATTTCATCGTCAATTGGAAATTTTATAAGTTACCTCTTTTTCAAATATATAAAGAATAACGAAATATATTAGTTTCCTTCTTATTTTATTTCATCGTTTTTATTAATGACATTCAAGTATGTTTTTTTTCAAAATTTATTCGATCAAATAAATTTGTTTTTATTATTCTAGTTCATTTTATAATTGGAATTATCAACAAATCTTGGTGGATGAAGCGAGACGTCCAAGAGCAGTTACAATAAACGAGCGAGATCCTGAGATTGCTTTGAAAAAAATTACTGCATGGTTAACTCTACATTACCCTGGACTTCATGTTAATCATGTAGAATTGACCAAACCTGACCAACGAGTATATGCTCGAGCCAATTTTCGTACAGCTTTGAATCAACAAAAAGTTGTTCTTTTCGATGTAACTGCTGCAGCAAACGGCTTTATGAATACAAATATACGGATGTTTTCACCTGGAACAGTTGTCCGTATATGGCCAGGAACAAGAACAACACCTACGCGACATGAAATTCTTATATAATCATTTATCAATAGACGAACACTTTCTTCTTTTTTATTCAATGAAAATAAAATTTAATCGACTAACAAAACATAGTTATCATCCAGAATTCAAATAGGATGTGTAATAGTGAGAATTATCAATCAGCATCATATATTCGTTCTTCTTCCGAGTTTTTTTTTCATCACTTCCTTTTTGTTTTTCTAATTTGAAAGAAACTGAAACGAATAATTATGCAATAGAAAAAACATGTGAAGAGAAAAGAAAAAAATTCTGTACTGTTTATATTACAAGCACTTGGAATGATGAGTAACTTACCACATAACTTCAATAAAGAAAAAAATTTTTCTTTCTCTGTTCTTTCACATATATCATAGACAGAAGAGTAATTATAGAACAAATACTAGGCTATTAAAAGCCAGACAATGAGAGACAAACCCTATAGAAAGAACACAAGAAAAAATTTGCTTTTTCATATTTTTTCTCTTGCGTTCTTTACATATCTTGTCTTTGTTATTATTCTTTTTATTCTTATTCATCGTTTCTTTTCACATGTAGAGTACAATATCAAGAAAAAAGTAAGTGGAAAAAAATTGAATATAGGAATCGAATCCACGACGTTACAGAATTTGATAATTTGTGGGAGATTTACTCTAAACAAAGTTTAAAGCCGATTTTTCAATCACGTTTTTATTATTAACAGAAAATCAATGTCAATAGAACTGATTAATATTTATAATAAACTTTATAATGATAGTATTCAAAAAATCAAATCAGATCAATATGAAATGGATGATCAAATAGATTCATCATTAGATAAAAGATCTGGCATCACACTTTTGGTTAGACCTGATGAACAAGTAAGGCATCGAATTTTGAAATTTCTTGCTGATTTACAAGCGATCGAACCAGAACAATATTATTACCCATCTTCAGATATGCATATTACTGTAATGCCGATTATTGCTTGTTATGAAGAATTTGATTTAAATCAGATTGTCGTTCAAGATTATATTGATCTTATTCAAAAATGTTTATCATCACAAAAAAATATTACAATCAAATTCAAGGGTATAACTGCATCACCATCGTGTATTATGATTCAAGGATTTCCACAACAGCAAGTTCTCGATGAACTTCGAAATGATATGAGAACAGTATTTAAAGCTTCTCCACTTCAGCAAAGTATAGATAAACGATATTCTCTTCAAACAGCTCATATTACTGTGGTTCGATTTAGAAAACCTTTTACGGCAAAAGAAGAATTTTTAAAAATACTTGAAAATTTCAAAGATTATGATTTTGGTGAAACAACAATAAATGAATTAGAATTGGTTCACAACGACTGGTATCTAAGAGACAATTTTGTGAAAACATTATTTCGATTTAAAGTTTAATAGTAAAATAAATCAATAAAAATATGCCTTTTATTAATGTTCTGCTTATACAAATAATCAGAGTAGTTTAAATAGTTTGTTCTATTTTTATTTTGTACAGAGAAAAATACATAATAACGCCCGCTATTCAGAAGAAATTTTAGAAAATAATAGACAATATCGTCGCTGAGACATAAAAATTAAAAAATAGGCGTTACAAATTTCCAGTCACACCTCCCATCGATTGAAATATCAACTTTGATTTTCTTGCGTATTGCAATTGAAATTCTTTTTTTTGTATGATGCAAGTTTGTATTTATTTTGCAAAAAACTATAAAAGAAATGTTTGTTTATTAGAAGAATTATTACACGTGGAAAAATACATTAAAAAAGTGCATGCATTACTTCCTTTCTCTTCATTCCTTTGATAAAATTATTTCACAGTATTAACTTGTCTGAAATATATTTCTCTTGCTCTTCTCTTTACATGACAATAAACTACGGTAATAGTTAATTAGAATGATATAGTCGAGAAAAAAAATATTCTGTGATATTTTAAATGAAACATCCTCTATAAGTAATGTCTTCCAAACGATCTTCAATATATTTTCCTGATGATAGCGGTAGAATATTTCTTTGTTCTAATAATTGCTTATTTGGATCTTGATCAATCAGAATAATCCATGAAAGAATTTGTTTTGGATCATGAACACAAAATTCATCAGCACCTATAGGATGTTGATAATAAACTGTGTCATACTCTTCCGTAGAAGGCCATTGTTGTGGAGCAGTTATACGTCTTGTTTTACCTAAATTTACTTTAGCACAAATATATGCTCCAAACTGATTTGCTTTAAATTCTGTATGATCAAGTGACGTTGCAAAATATATACCAGGTCCAATCCATCCACTTTGTCCTGGTTTAAAGTTTGTTTTAGCAATAGATGCAGCAGAAGCGTGACTAGTCTGATGGAAACCAATAACGATTTGACCATCTGTTGTTTGTTCAGGTGGATATCTTGTGTTACTTGAATGATACATAATTACATGATAAAGATTTCTTGATAAACAATTATTTCCTTTATTACATCGAGATTTTTGCCAATAACTTGTTTGTTGATCATTTGTAAGTGCTAATGGTAAAAAACGTAAATGATGACTATCATATTCCCGCTTCTCATCAGATGAAACATCTGGATGATAATGAAACCATAAACGACGATAATGTAAATATTCAACAATTAATAGCCATAGTGAAGGTATAAATGAAAATGCAGCTAAAATTGCATAACCTACCCCTATCGGTGAATACCGGCTAGCACATACACAAGCAAGAATAAATCCTATAAATCGTATTATTTCAAATGCAATTAAAATATTAAATCGAGTTATTGATATAAGTTGAGGATATTCAAGATAACATTCACAACGAAAACATGTTAATGTCGAAAGATTCCAAGCAAATGATTGAGAACAACATCCAACATTTTCACGATCAGATTCAAATAAAATTGATCCAATATAACGAAGAAATACATAACATAAATTTGCAATGAAAGTAACAAACGATGAACCTAATTCTAATAGTAATATTATTATAGGAAAAGCTATCGAATCTTTTTTAGCTGACGATAAATCAGTACATAAAACGATAAAACGTATAATAAAAGCTATCGAACATATTGTATGTAACGTTATCAAGTAATGGTAACGTGTCACATCATTTTTTAACAACATTAAAATTTTATTTAATCTACAAAGAAAAAAAAGAGAATCATTATATCATTTAAAAAATACCGTTTGTCTGTTATTTCCAAGTTTCGCAAAGAATTTATATCATTGAATAAAATTCAACTTGGTTTTTCCCCGACAAAATGTTTCATGGCAACATTTAAAATCTTTCTTTCTGTTTGTTTGCGTTGCTATATTATTCAAAAAAAGAAAAAAACTTCCAACTTTATTTTCTCTTGCAACATCCTAGTCAAAAAATAAAAAACTGCCATACGAGAGAATACATTATATCACAAAAATGGTTTCTCTATGTCGTTCTCCGTTTAATTGTTATAATGATAGAAAACGATATAAAACTATGATTGTCTTCAATATCTTTGAACTAATCTTTTTTATTATTCGATTAAGTTTAGTTAGTAATGATTTATCTCAAAGTAATTCAAGTACAAGAAATTTTCTTATACCCATTTTAATATTTGATTTAATTGGATCAGTTCCATTAATAATATGTAATATTATTTATGTTATTATGCATCATTGTATTCAACCATTAATTCATCAAACAACTTCAGCTCAATATTTATGGAATATTGGTACAATGACATGTATTCGACTTGATTTTCATAAAGATCGTCCTCAAGCTATTTTACTTATTCGTATTTTATTTATTGTTTCTTCATTTATATTAAGATTTATTTGCTTTGTTATTGGTGCCTCTTGTTCAGCTCGTTTTCAATCTCAATGTACTGCCTATGCTGTTGTTGCTGGATTTGCTCTTGTATCATCAATAATTGTTATTATTTTAGAATTTATTCATTTTTTTCGTTTATGGAATTATAATCCTACTGATTCAAGAAATACAAATGGAATTTATAGTATAACTACTCCACCAATGATAACTAAGACACATCGTCGTCATCTTCGTTTTATACATAGTTCATTATTAAATGATGAAACTTCTGATAATTTTCGTCGATCAAAATGTAAACAAGAAAATAATTGTAAATCACAAAGTCTTCATCATTTTTTATTATATCATTCACTTGGAGTTCAACATGATATAGATGTAGCAAATCTAAGTGATGATGAGAAGAAATCTTTTATTGCTTATTATGAAACAACTTCAAAAGAAGCTTTTGAAATTGCTCAAAATGGTTTTCCTTATGGATATTCTACTGGTCCAGCAAAAGATTGTTTACATCTTAGAAAAGATATATTTTTTACACGTTCATGTCAATCTCCAACTGCAGAAGCAATTATATGTGTTCGATTAAATTTAGGACGAATAATAGTACTTCAGACTAGTGAAAATCTTAATCTTGATCCATATTTTTCAAGAGCCGATGGACAATGTGATACAATTTATATATTAAATAATCGTCGATTATATCTTCGAATGCCAGGTCAAATTGAAAAATGGATAGTTACAATTAAAGCTCATGTTGCTGTTAATGATACACTTGATAGAAAAATATATCAACCTTGTCTTTAAAACGAGGTGTGGATGTGCGCGGCTGCATCATATAAACTTTATTATCATTATATTTTCTTATAACTAGTTTTTACCAAGCTTCATCATGGGGATATAGCTCAGTGGTAGAGCATTCGACTGCAGATCGAGAGGTCCCTGGTTCAATCCCGGGTGTCCCCTATTTTTTTTTATTTTTGCTTAATCCTCACTATAATTAATTGATTTCGATTTCTATATACCACGATAAGCCGATATCAAATACGAGCATAATAACAACAATAATGTGTGTGATACTTTTTACTTTCGCACTCATTTTCAACAAGAAATTTGAGAGTATGATAGTCATACACGAATTAATGTTATTTGTGTTTCTATCTCTAAATATCAGACCATACTAATGAAGCATTACAGAAAAATCAATTTTCTTTTTTTTTTTCATTTCAAATGGCGCGACACGAATAAAAATCCAATAATAATTTTCTTTTCTTTTTCATTTTCTTTTCGCAACAATAATTGATTAAATAGTGCACGGGTACTAAACCAAAGTGCGACAACCGTATAATACAGGTTTCGTGTAAATCAATATAAGAAAGAATATAACTAATTAAATTGAAACTTAGACGTTTTCACTCATCATACAGAAAAATTTAAATTTAAAGTGTCATGTCTTTTTTTCGATATAAATAGTGTTTCTACTTTCAATTCATTTCATTTGAAGAATTTTCTAGATAGAAGTCAGTAATAAAGCAAACTCTTGCAATTCGACATGATCGTAGGAAAAAGTGAATGGTTCACAGAACAAGAGTTAGAGCCAAACAAGATCGAATTAATGGAGAAGCATCCTAAGATTATTAACAATATGTATACAAGTATGAAATTCGTTATTATTTATGATATTTTATTAATTAAATGTATTTCAGCTAGCGGTCGTATGCATATACGACCTGTTTTGTTCGGTGTGATTCTTGGAGCTTTGATTGTTGGTATTGCTCTAGCAGCAGTACTTACCATGTATATCAAAGATCGATCCAACCAAGGTATTTTTATAATCTGAAAAAATAAGTTAGTATATTTTTCGAATAGTACACAAATTTTCAGCTTAATATCAAGAGAAAATAGCTCATTTTATCTTCGAAAATTCTTTATCGGTTGTCATTAAGGATGGATATTATATTAACTCTACATTTTTAGATAGTGACATCATTGCACACACTACGACTAGCACAGCAACAACGTCGACGACAACTACAACAACGACAACAACAACGACCAGCACAACAACTACGACGACGACAACTACAAGCACATCAACAACGACAAGCACATCGACAACGACAAGCACAACAACAACATCTACTACAAGTAAATCACTATAGAGAATAACTCACCCGACATGTATAGTAGTATAAATGAATTATTGGTTGTTTTTGCGATGTAACTGAAAAAGATGAGTTTATCGGATCGTGTCTTGCTATAGTGAATCAATATTAAGAAAAATATAAAAGAAATTTGATCAGTTGATTTCTATTTTTCCGTATATAATAGCTACGACATCTGCCGTACCACTCTCGTATATATTCTGGTCGTTTGATTCCAATTTCGATGATCTGTATAATGTATACAATGGTATCGGTATGAACGGTGCCAGCTTTGTTTCACCTGGCTACACTGGTTATGGATCGGCATTATTTCTCAATGGAACAAACTCTGAATATGTTCTCGTATCAAATTATAAAGATATGACAAATACAAGTTTAACTTGGGAAACATGGTCTTATCCAATCAATTTAGGTAAGTCATCAGTTTCTTATAACTGAAGAGATCTTTAGGCAAGATAGAGTCAATTTATCTTTCTAGATAATTACGATAATTTAATGTTGGGTATGTGTCAAACAACCAGTACGAGTATGTGCATGTACTTAATGATACGACAAAATCGAACTTATTTTGCATTTTTTAATAATGATTGTGTCGGTTCAACAATCGTCTCGATTAATCGTTGGTATCATTTTGCATTTGTCTATGATTATATGGCTCTAACACAATATATTTATGTGAATGGAATTCTCGAATGTACACATAATACATCAAGTCCATTTCAAGCAACAAGCGGAGCGATAACTATTGGAGCAATTAATAATACAGGTACTGCCACACCGGCTGCATTTTGGACAGGCTATATCGATCAAATGGAATATGTATCACGAGCTAAGACTGCATTAGAAATTTTAACAGATGCAACTCTCGCAGCTTATTATTCATTCGATGATGGTTCATACTATGATTTGGGTCCTCTCAAAATTAATGGAGTAAGTTAAAAAGAAATTTACATAAAACTTTGATTGATTATTTATATCTACAAAATATTTCTTAATTTAAATATATAATATAAATTTGTTGTATTCTTAGACAGGCGTTGGTATAAGCTCTACAGCGGGCTATGTCAATCAATCCATTTTGTTCAATGTTTCTGGTGCATATTTTCAAGCAGGTGCATTTACTTCATTGGGTGTATCCGGTCAATCTTATTCAATATCACTTTGGGTAAACAAAGCATTATCTAGTAGTGGAGGTGGAACTCTAGTACATGTATCAGGAAGGTAAAAAAGAGCAATTTTTGTTAAGAATAAATATAAATAACATTTATTTAGTTCAAATGGAACATTATGGTGTATATCTATGTTGGGTTTATCTTCATCCGATGAAATTATTGGACAAAGTTGGAATTTATCTATAGTAGCTATTCAAGGACCTATTCTTCAGTTAGGTGTATGGACTCATATCGTTACATCATACAGTATGGATAATGGTGTTCGTCTTTGGGTTAATGGAACTTTAATTGGTTCATCGATTCCATTTACTTATTCTGCATCAAGTTTACCTGATTGGATTACAGTAGGAACAACATTTTCAGCTGCACTGCCGTGTGCCCATGGCAATGTCGCCGTCGGACAATTCTATGGAATGATAGATGAATTAAGAATTTACTCACGAGAATTAACATCCAGCGACGTTTATGCACTGGCTAATCCGTAATCCTTATTTATTGATTGTATCATATGTGATTTTTTTTTTCGAAATAATTTTCTTGAGTTTTACTTATAATAAAATTTCATGTATCAAATAAAACATCTTGAAAGTGTGAATGAACAAGTCCTTCACATTTTATCCTTGAATAAAAAGTGAAGACTAATTTAAATATTCACATGCTTACATATTTTCTTTTCTTTTAACATCACAATATATTAAAGGAGAGAAAAGAAAAGAAAAGAAAAGATTTATATCGACATATACATCTTTACGTTTTAACTTGTTATTTTACCTCATGATCAATTACAAAAAAAAAATGCGCACATGGTCTATAATTGATCGATGAACTTAAATAACCAACAATTAAATGATTGACTCAATATCGTTTCATTACTTAGTTTAGAGACAAAAAATGTCCTTCGAGACATGTTGTTATGGATGACTTGTTATTCTATTCGTACGTCTTTTTCTTCTTTCTTTCTTTCACATGTGTATCGATATACTTAACGCCCACCGTGAGTCATTATTAACGAAAAATTATTTCGTACGTCATTTATTTTTGTACATTTTCGCTTTCGATTGATTTTATTTAGTAATGAAAGTTGTTTACATTCAAATTAAAGTCGATCGTTTTTATAATACATATTAATATGATATTCAAACGAATAATTATTTATTTAATTGATAAATATTTAGGAAATTATATTCAAAATTTGGATACTCAAAATCTTAAATTTGATTTATGGCATGGTTAGATTTCTTCTTGCAGTAAGACAATTGATTTTATCTGTAAATTTTAGGTAATGTTACTCTAGAAAATCTTAACATCAAACCCGATGCACTTGTAAACCTTTTTATTTGTACTTAAAATACAACGTATTTTGTGCTTTCTTTTTATAATAATAGGCTAACTTCAATATTCCTGTTTCAATAATAACTGGATATATTCGTACGTTGTTATTTTTATTTTTTTCTGAAAAAATTGAATAAAATATTTAGAAAAATTATCATTTCATATTTCTTGGAAACATTTATATCATCATCCTATTAATATTATTATCGATGGTTTTTATGTAATTGCCGAACCAAATACAGAAATTAAACATAATGCTGAACAAGAAGAAAAAAAACAATATAAGGCTAAAATGAAAGAAGTACATAAAATAGAAGAATTTCGTAAAGAACAAGAAGAATTTGGTAATAAGATCTATTCTATTTTTTTTCTTTGAATAAATTTCTTTTTTTTTCTAGTAAGATCAAAAAGATCTCCAAGACAGAGTGATACATTTCTCGAACGTTTACAATTACATATTATTCGTCATTTCGAATTTTCTATAAGTAATATTCATATTTCTTTCGATGATAAAATAACAAAACCTAATCGACCATTTATATTTGGAATTACTCTCAACTATATTAAATTTCAAGTAGATATATTATTTCAAAAATCAAATATTTGTTCTCCGTTTTCTATGTAGACAACAAATAATGAATGGGAACATATGAAATTAATAGAAGATTCAGCAGTTATTTATAAAGTAAAAATTATTATTATATTTGAAATTAAATCTGTATACTTTAATTCGATATTAGTTTGGTGAATTGAATACTTTTTCTATCTATTGGAATTGCAATGTTAAATCCCAATCAAAAGAAAATCCTATTGTATGCTTACAAGATTTATTTTATTTTAAGCATATATATTTTTTAATACAGGAAGATTTACATGCAAAAATTATGAGAAATAATGAAACATCTATGGAAAATATGAACTATAGTAAGTTTGTGTATATTACTTCGGATTATCCAAAAGTGGTTGATAGACGTACTTTTTTTGTCTTATAAAAAGCTTTGAAAATTGCGATATACAACGCAATCATTTAACTTTGTGCTACCAGCAGAAATGATAACGAAACAGTATCTCCGTCTACACTACTTGTCGATATTCTTAAGTATTTCATTGAATATATTTTTCTTTGTAGTTTTACGACCATCAGATATTAAAGCAAAATTAAAGATTGCAACATTACCTAATCAACAGGAATATGTTCGACCTATTCTTGATGTTAAAATTGATTTTAAACAGATTCATTTAAATATTACTCATGATCAGGTTAGACGAAATGATTTGCTTTTTATTATTGATCTATTCATTTGTTTAGTATTCGGATTTACTCGATCTTTTGGAACTTCGAGATAATATTAAATTACAATCACAATATAAGAAATATTACAAATCGATTGAAACAACTAAACCAAGTTTACGACGGTAAAAATAAATTCAAAAATTTTTTTTTTAATTTGTTCAATTATTTTTGTAGTTGGAAATTTGCCTACGCTGTTGTTGTAAATGAAGTAGTTCGACCTCGTCTAGGATATTATCAATGGGAAAATATCAGAGAGAATTTAAATCGATGTCGTGAATATCATGCTTTATATTTTAAAGAACGTGATGAACAAGCAACTAGAATTGAGAAACAACGTGCTCGAGTAAGATAAAATCGAAATTAATTTCAAAAAATATTTTTTTTCGTTCATATTTTAGAAATTAGAAAAACAAATCGATGTCTTAAATTTAGTTTTTATTCGTCGGAATGTCGAACTTGACGTCTGAAATAATATGTTACTTAATTCAATATATAATTTTTTTTTTCATTTCTACTATTTAGATTAAAAAGAATAAGGTTGAAAAAAAACAAAAATATTGGTGGGATAGATTATTTCATTCGTGGAGTGATAATTCAAATAATAACAATACAGGTAAATTAACTCGGAATATCGATATCGTTCTATTTTGAATAGATCTTGACAATGTTATGACCTTGGATGAAGAAATAAATTTGAACAATGCGACTGATGATCATAATTTATCAATATATCCAGAAGAAGTAAATACTTCTTAGTATGAATTAATGACTAATATTTGGACTTTAGTATGTTGATATTGATCTTTCAATTGAATTAAATTTACTTGAAATTAATGTCTGGTCGAATGTTAACGATAATGATTCACAGTAACGATAATTATTTATTTCAAATTTTGTTTTATGTTATTTTTTGATAGATTAACAATGATTGCTCAACTTCTTGTATCGAATACGAATTTAAATTATCAACGTCGTCCAGCTACTTCAGCTTTTTTGTTAGTTATGTATAATTTTCCGATTTTTCTCATTATTTTATTTAAATTAGAGTAATTATCGATATGGATTCATTAGAAATGTATGGAGAAGATAAAAATCTAATTCAATGTATTAATAAAATTGAATGTCCATCTCAAAAATTATTACATATCGAATTTGAAACATATCCATCGAATACAAATATTGATTATCGTATAAATGCAATATCAAAATCATTCGAGATTATCTATGATATAGTATGATTGATTAGAAGAAATTTTTTTTTTATTAATTTCTATGAATTTTTGATAGATAACTCTTAATAGATTAATCGATTGTTTTCATCCTGGTGTTCGTCGTCAGTTAAGAGGGTATATATATAAAAAAAAGAATTTATTATTGATTTGTATGAAATTTTCAATTTGTTTTTAGAGTGAGAAAGAAAGCTTATACAATTTATACAGATATTCGACATCGATTGAAATTTTTATTGAATTATAATTTTCGAAATATAAAAGATTTAGATGTTAATATTGATTTTCAATCAGCTTATTTTATCTTACCTGATAATGGTGTCTATCATAAGTAAGACGGAAAAAAATATATATATGATAGAGAATTTTTAATATTATTTTCTAGTGAATGTTCAAGTATTTGTCTAGATTTTGGAAATTTTACAGTTCAAGGTGGTTCTATTCAAGTTGATAAGATAGATGAAGATATATTCGAAGATGCTCAAGTATTAAATAGAATTCAATATTTATTAATTCAGTATTGATTGTTTTCTAGAGTACCATTGATGAGATAGATGAAGATATATTTGAAGATGCTCAAGTATTAAATAAAATTCCATGTTTATTAATTCGGTATTGATTGTTTTTTAGAGTACTGTTGATTCGCCATATTTTCCGATAAAAGCTCGAGTAGAAAATATTCAACTTCATTATATCAAATCAAGTAAAATTTTAATTATATTCATTCATTTTCTAAAATATTAATATTAATAGATAATGATCGAGAATCTTCGATGCATTTAATCAAACCATTTACAATTGATCTCGATGTACTCAAATGTATATATGTAAATGATGCAATTTCACCACTGTATGTTATTTCTATCAATCCTCATTTGAAATTTTCGTCTAAAAATTTTCTAGTTGGAAAATCGATGGACAAATATCAGCAATAAATTTACAATTGTCTGATCTATTTTTCGTCAGAATTATTAATCAAATTCGATCAATCTCATTTCCCGAAACACGGCATTCATTAAAAAAGGATGAAACAATTAAAGAAGTTAGTCACAATCTTTTTCTAAATCTCACATAAATTTTAAGTTTTTCGGCTCCCATTATAGACCTTAGTAATCGGCGCCAAAGGTCATTGAGTACAAACTCATTCCAATGTCTGTAAAAAGCATGTAGGTTGATATATCACCCACCCTTTCGAGAAAATCGAGATTTCTGAATTTCGCCAGTGTCATTACAGTTGACAAAAATCCACTGGACTGACGCCAAATCGCGCCTAAACTTTCGCCAATTGGCGAATGTCCATTATAGTTTCGCCAACAAACCCCCCACATTTTTAGTCCCAACGGGGAAATGCGCTAACAAGTTTTTCCATTTTATTTTATCTTATAGTTATTTATATTTGATGACATAATACCTGAAAAAGATACGAAAAAATTATATAAAACAATCGATCAAATGGTACAAACAAAGAAAAATTCGCAAAATACAGATAATAGACAACAAGTTAATTCAAATATACAGCTTAACGAAGTTGAAGCTGCACTAAATATTCCTTATGTAAGTATAACATTTATCTATTGTATTCAAAATGAAAAAGTTTTTATCAATAGATTGATTTTCTTATTGATCAATCGTTATCGGATGAATCTAATAAAACTCAACCATTTATTCGAATATCATTTACTTCAATTAATGCTCAAACAACCATCAAAACATATGATGCAAATCTAAATATATCTCTTACTAATATTATTATCATTCATGAACAATTTCTAACAAATGAGAAGAAACCACTTCAACTATTTTCAAATGTACACAATGAAAAATTATTTATCGCAAAATGTTTATTTACTTCACCTGAAAATCCATTATTCTATTCTGATCCTTATGATCGTATTGAAAATAGAGTCTGTATACATATTAGTAAACCTATTATTATGCTTCAAATCAAAGCAATTATGTCTGTTGTTCAATTTCAAAATAATCTTATGAAGAAATTAATATCTAAGAAACAACAATCCGAAAAAAAATCAAATTCAAATAAAACAGAATTAATTTCAGATCGATCAACATGTGAAATTAAAATTAACCTTGAATTATTTCGAATAATTATCGAAACAGATTTACTCGATATTCAATTTCAAGGATTTATTATCAATTACAGTCAACTACCTCGAAAAAATACAATTAAATTAATTCTTAATGATATTTATCTATCTGATCTTAATGCACGTCAACGATATCATAATTTTCTTATTCGACAAAATCATGAAATACAAATCTTAGGTTTTGATTTAACTACATATATTTATTCTGCAAAACGTGAAAAGAAATTGGATGAAACTGATTTTGATATTAATATGAATTTAAATAAGATAAATATTATTTTACTCTATAAATATATGGATTTATTTTTAAATATATATAATATATGTCAAATGAATGGATCATCTGGTGAAACGAATACTAATAGTTATGATATATTACAAAATCTTAAAATTCGTTTTGATATTATTCTTAATTTACCAACGATTTTTATTCCAGTAGATACTTATGCAAATGAAGGAGTTCTTATTGATTTAGGTGAATTGATATTGAAAACTGATTTTTTCGATGATGTTAATCAATCTTGTATCGAACAACAAGTATTAATTATTAAAAATTCTTTATCTCGTCGAATTAATCTAAATGATAACAATGAAATAAACGGTGATATTATTCTAGTGAAATGTGCGGAATTTCATACATGTATCAATCGACGCTTACATTCAAATGATGATCAAAATCAACCGGGGATGTCAGTTAAAATCGAATGTGAAATAATGGATGTGACCATATCGAAAGATGATTATTCATGTCTAATGAAAATATATCAAAAGAATTTTTCTGAAATATTTAATCAGAAAATTTCATTACCGGTCATAAAAGAACAATCCGAGAATGAAAAATCAATTGAAAAACAAACGAATTCATTAGATGATAAAACTTCAATGAAAATACAAATCGACTGTGAAGTTAAAAATATTACTATTACTCTTTTTCTTGATGAATTTAACCCCACTGTTCGTCAAACAAATCGAAATAAAACTTTCGAATTTCTTAGTATGAGAATTGAAATGATCGAAGTTCATTTTCAACAATCATCTCATCTAAGTTATAATATTAAAAGTCAAATTCAAAATTTTGTGTTAGACGATTTACGTAAAACAAATCCATCAAATAGTGAAACACATTTATTCAATCGAAATTTTAATGTAGATCAGAATATTCCAATGTTTACTATGACTATTGATTGTAAACCAAATAATGAAACTCCTGCGATAAATATTCGACAGAGTAAGTAAAAACAAATTTAGAAAATTATTTTTTTTATATTTTTATATAAATAGTAAATGCTCAATTCGAGAGTTTTTATCTATGGTTAAGTTCTGATTGTTTAATGATATTAAAGAATTTTTTTACTTTACCTCAATCATCACCGAATAAATCTATCTCAGTACATCATTCATCGAATCAAGTTTCATCCAATACTGAAACGAGAATTAATATTTTAATCAAAACTTCTCGTATATGTTGGTTTAAGCAATATCGTATTAATTCAAAATGTCTTGTACTCAATGTAAGATTGAAGAAAAAAAATAGAATTCGAAGAAATAATTGTAAACATTTTTAGTTCTCTTATCAAATACGAATGAACATTATCAATGCAGAAACACATTTATATAGTTCAATCAAAGATATAACTATTTATACATCTGATTTGGCTGATTTAAAGAATTCAAAAATCGAATATCAAGTAAGATAAATGTTAGAATTTTTATACACTTTGATTATTTTATAAAGATTTTGCAACCGATGAATGTTTCTATTGGTTTACGTATGAACTCGACATATCAAAAGTTTGATGTGCATATTGGAGATATTATTGCTAATATTTCTCCAACTATCATTCGGATAATTTTTAATATGATAAATTCGATAAATAAAAGTCAAGTAATATAATCTCGCCTATGATTTAATCGAAATTCATCTAACTCTTTTTTAGGAAAATAATTCAGATAGAATAGAGAAAATTAATTCAAAATCTTTATTGAATCCAAAACCTCTCAATGATGCATCATTTTGGTTTCTTAAAGGTCTGTCAACTTGTTCAAATAAATTGTCTCTTTACATAATCAATCATTCTAGATATTGATATAGATCAAACTAATGAGGTGAAAACAACAACGGAAACTTCTTCGCATGAGGAAGATCAAATCAAAAATCATCGTTTACAACAAGTAATAACAATAAAAATCCCCACTTTTCTTATCTAATTGAATTCGTATGTTTAGCTGAAATTTAATTTGAAACTTATCGAAGTTAAATTTGAACTTGATTCAGATTTAATAACAAAACCAGTGATCGCTTTATGTCTATCGGATCTATCTATCGATATTAAGAACTGGTCTAGTAATGTAAGAACATATATTCTAATCATTAAGTATTTACGTTGTATATTTAGATGAGTATTACTTCAAGAATTCAAATTGAATTAGCTGTATTCAATGATTCTATACTTGCTTGGCAATCAGTAATTGAACCTATTATTAATGATCGTGGTGAAATTATCTCTCCATGGTGTATTACTTGTTCTACTATAGCTGTAAGATTTTTGTTTTTAATGAATAAATAAAACGAAGATTAACGTTTTTTTTATAGGTAGAAGATGAAAATGAGGTAAATATATACAACTTATAGTATCCGAATCATGATTTTGTTTTATTTCAGTGTATACTCGATCGACAAAAACCTAAAAAAGTGAGTTGACTGAATTTCTCAAAAGAAATTTTTGTGTATCGATTTGATTTTAGTGCGGATGTTTGAGTTCTCATGAAAATTCCATATCAATGACTGAAGAAGAATCAAAAGATATTACAAATATTCTTAATGCAAAAAATAAAATTCATATACGAGCTGAACATTTACTTAGTGTAATATTTACAAAAACAACTTTTGATCTTGTTCAATATCTTTTCAAAATATTTATGAATACTTATAAATACGAATTATTAATAATTGATAAATCAATCTTATCTTTATATAATCTAACTGGTTATGATATTCTTCTTGATGATCTAAATGGTATTCAAGTAAATTTGGGTGAGAATAATAAATTCGAAATGCCAATTAAAGTCAAACATGGAGAAATCATTCCAATGAAGGTTTCTAATGAACGTTTAACTGCTACTCATCTTCCTGCTATTGAGGAACAGATTACCAAAAGACGACAAGAATTTTCTGTTGAAGTAATTGAATTTTTAGTTAAAATTTAATTCATTTTAATATTTTAAGATTAATAAACATAAACGAAAGATAGATATTAATCAAACATCGAAACAGATATATGAATTAAATCCATCGCCTTTAGTCAATTGGCCTATTCAAATGCTTTATGATTCTCAAATTTCTAATTATCATCATCAAATTATTCTCGGTTCAATCATTAAAGTATAAACTGAAAATTTTGTTTGATTTATATTGATTTATTTTTTCAGATATATAATAGAACTATTGTACCACTAAATATCTTAGATGTTCATTCAATTGAAACAAAAAAATATCATAAATTATGTCGACTTGAAGTCAATGAAGAATATCATCTTCCAATTCAACCCTTATATATGCGTTCAAGTTCTCGTCTGTTTATTAGTATTGATGAGTAAGAAAAAAAAATTCTTATTCCGTTTGATTTGTAATTATTAATTCAAAATAGAAATGATTCAACAGAACAAATCAATGATTTTATTTCATTTGATTGGATAAATGAAACTACAGTCGATCGTACACTAAAGAAAAACAATAATGAAGAAATTCATCTTGTCGTAAGTTTTTCTTTTTCATACGACTTACTGTGAGGGTGGGTGCTGGTATTGTCTTCATTTATCATACACTCCACACCCTCAAGATGAAATTCTTTTCATAGATATACATGTTTAGATTTATAAAGAATCAATTGATGGATATTCGGATAATACCAGTGAATCTATTCATACTTGTTTTCATATATATATTAAACTAGCTGTTTATTTAATTAATCTTTTACCAATTAATATTGAATGTTCCATTGATGTGAGTAGAAATTTTGGGTTTTTATTTGATATTCATTGAATAATATATAAAGAATGATGATCCAATCGATTTGAAATCAGGTGAATTGTATCATGCGACATCCGGTAATAAAAAATCTCAACTGATTTTTACGGTATGTTTATTTATATCCGTTCTTTATTTCTAAATAAAGTTTTAATCTATATTAGATTCCATTACATAACAATAAGAAATGGATTTCAGAATCAATTGATTTACATGTAAAACCTCATAGTAATCCTACTCAACATATGGTACAATTTCATGGAGTTAATTCACAAGATACAATGGTATTCATTTTGATTAATTGTATTATTATTTATTTTAAAAAAAATTGTTAATTTAGAAAATGATTCTACGTATAGATGTATATCAAGAATCATATCGTGTTATGCTTTATTCACCATTTTGGATTCTTAATTATACCAATTTTAAAATTGAATTTGAAGTTTGTTTACTTTTTGTAAATTTCTAAGAATTAATTACATTATTTTTATTATAGATCGATAATGAGAAGACTCTAATCGATATTTATGATTCACCATTTTTTATCTGTACGAAAAAAATTGATAATAGTATATTTGAGAAAAAGGTTTATAATATTTAAATTATTAAAAAAGTGCAAAAATGAATTTTTTTTCTAATTTCAGAGTTCTATTCGTTTATATAATGTCGATCAAGAAGATTCACTATCGCACTGGTCAGAGAAATTTTCTTTATACGTTTTCGAAAGTACAGGCATGGTTAATTGTAAAATATCTCATAATAAAATATACACGGTAATATAATCGAAATTAATATAATTCTTAGTGGCAAAATTATTATTAATAGATTTGTATAAATATTACAACAACATCATCTGGTTTATCTAAAATTATAAAACTCTTGCCATCCATGGCTATTATTAATAAATCATCGGTATAAATAGATTTTTGTTTTTCTGAAAATCGATAACTTTTGTTTATATTAGGTTGAAATTGAAATTATTGAAACAATCTCTGGAATTCAACAGAACGAATGGCAATTAATAAAACCGGAACAAGTAAATCAATCGTTCGAAAAAAAAAGAATTATTATATTTTTAATAATTTATATTTAGATAATACCATTTTGGCCATGTGATATGAAAGAAGGTATTATGAATGTTCGTTATTCATATAGTCGAATGATACCATCATCTTTTATGATGAATATTAAACATCGAACATTATTACGAATGAATGATGAAGATCATCCAGTTCTTCATGTTCAAGTATCTATTACTGATTTCTTTGGTATTCATATAATTTTCAATGATTATAAAATTGGTCATGCACCTATTCTACTTATTAATTGTTTGAAAAATCAAGAAATATCTTATAATCAAAAAGATGATACGTAAGTCTCTTATTTTCTATTTATTCAATTAAATGTTTTTGTTTAAAATAGACAAATACAAATCTTATCATCTCAACATTATGTATACTATACATGGAATAACCCATTTAAACCACACAAATTACTTGTTTCAAGTAACGGACAAAATAAAGAAATTGAATTTCATGTAACTTTTACATATTAAAAACATAATACTAAATCATAATTGTTATTGTCTTTTCAGCCTGTTTGTGGTTATATTGGAAATGATATATTTTATGCGGTATTTCATGATGGCCCTCAAACAGTTTTGATCATTACGGATGAAAAATCTATTATCAAAGCAGTTACAGATGTATGTTGAAAAACTTTTTCTTCTCCTATTTAGAGATGTACCGAGACTCTCGGTTAGTTGTAGGTGAGAGTGAAAAGGATAGTACCCGTACTAGAGATGTGCAGGACCAACCTTTTTAGGTCCCGGTAAGTTATTTTCTTCGGCCACGGTCCCGATCCCGTCCCCGACAGATTTTTTTGGTCCCGCACATCTCTAACTCGTACCCATCCCTAAACTCTTATTCTGAATTTTATTTTTATAATTTAGCTTTCTGATGAAATGTCATCGTTAAGTGAATCCATGGAACAATATATTGAAATTAGTGTTCGTGAAATTGGTCTATCAGTTATAAATGATATTACTCATGAAGATTTATTTTATATAAGTATAAATAAATCGAAAAAGATTTGGACTGAAACACGAAAATCTTTAATAAAACCACTTTCATCGAAACTCAATCGACAATTAGAAAAAAAATATAAAATTCATATGAAACAACGACAAGTAAAAACATATCATATTCGTAAACATCGTGTAAGATTTATTTTATTTCTTACTAAAAAAATAAAATTTGTTTTCTAACTTAGCTTGTTTCATTCAATGAAAATCATGCTGAAATAATCGATCAAAATGGTCATCATGTACAAGTTCAACGTCAATCTCTTGATGGATTATGGATTGGATATGCTTGGTCTATGAAAAATACTTTCTATCATATTCGTATTCATCATATTCAAATCGATAATCAAGTAGAGAATACAATGTTTCCTGTTATTTTTTATCCGACTATTTCCAAAACAGATTTTCTTGATATTCGTAAGTTTGATTTTATACTTCCGCCAATAATTTTTTTAATTTACAGCAGGAAAACCATTTGCTGAATTGAGTGCGTTGAAAACAACAGTTGCACAATCAAAAACAGTACATTTTAAGTATGTTATATCTATATGAATAATTGACATTTATCATATAAATCATATATAGATATTTCAAAATTACAGCGGAAGAATGTGTCTTTTGTGCTGATCAAGGTTTAATCAATTCATTTTTTTCATTTATCAACTCGGAACAAGTTCATATCTTTTTGTTTATTTTTATTTCAAAATTTTGTCTTGATAATTTTTAGAAAATGCCCGTACCTATTGTTAAGATGAACAAGGATTTCAGAAATCTTAAGATATCATTTGAACAACTTGTAGAAAGTCAAATAGAAGATGAACCAGACGAAACAAAAATCTATTTTGATTCTATTCATCTATCTCCATTAAAAGTAAACAATTTGATTATGAATATATCTTATAACTTACAATTGATTATTCGATAGGTTCATGTGAGTTTTTCTGCACTCGGTTCAAAACCAAATAAACAATTATTAGTTGAATCTTCATGGACTCACTATTTTTCACAACTATTGGATATGGCCAAAATGCAGGATGTTATTTTGAAGTAAATTTCTTCTTCTTCTTCTTCTGGAAATATATACATCGTTGTAATAATATAGATTAGATTTCTATGAACGAGAGAACGATCGATTTACATTAACGAAATTATTACTTGAAATCGTTCATCATTATGAACATCAAGTTTGGAAACAAATTTATGTTGTTGTATTAGGTTTTGATGTACTTGGAAATCCTTTTGGTGTTGTTCGAGGTGTTGCGCAAGGTGTTAAATCATTTTTTCATGAACCGTATAAAGTAAATCATTTCTTTTATTTATAATTAAATCCTATTGATTGTCTAATCAAGGGTGCGATGGAAGGCCCATCGGAATTTATTGAAGGAGTTGCATCAGGTACTGAACATTTAGTTGGTGCAGCTGTTGGTGGTGTTGCTAATGCTGGTTCGAAGATAACCAATGCAATGAGTAAAGGTTTAGCAACATTAACATTTGATGAAGATTATAAAAATATTCGAATTCAACGAAAAAAATCTCCAATACAAACAAGATCGGATATTATTCAAAGTGGCAAGAATGTTGCCAAGGTTCGTTTTCTTTTGTCTATGTGGAATATAATCGTTATATATTTTTGTTTATATAGGATGTTGTACATAGTGTAGAAGATGTTGTTAAAAAACCAATAGCAGGTGCTAAGGAAGATGGGACACCAGGTTTCTTTAAAGGTTTAGGTAAAGGTTGTATCGGTCTTGTTGCACGACCAACAAGTAGTGTTACTAATCATACTAGTAGATCATTGGATTTGATTAAGAGGTGAGAAATTCGATTATTGGAAATTATTTCTATGATTTATTATAGGCATGCAACTCATGAAATAGTTATGCATCGTATTCGAGATCCATATCATATTGGTAGAGATAATATTATTCGACCTTCAACAGCTTATCGAACAAAAGGACTTTTTATTTTCAATGTACGATTATCTTAAAAATGTTTTCTAAGTATATAGTATTATTTTTTATTTGTTAGAGACTTGATATCGATAGATACATCAGATCAGACAAATATATTGCTCATATCAATTGTTATGAAAATGAATCTGGCTGGTTTTTTGCAACATCAAAGTATATTTGATATTTGTATCTATCAATTTCATAGTTTTATATTTTGTTTTATTTACTCATAGACATTTAATGTTTGTAAAGGAACACGTTTCTCATCGAGATACATTTAAAGTTGAATGGCATTTTCAATACAAAGAATTAAGAGGATCACCTATTGTAAGATTTGATCGAAATCAAATCGAAATTATCTTGAAAGTAAATTAAATTTGAATGATTTAATCAAAGCTTTAATTATGTTTTAGGAACCAAAATTGCGTCGAAAAATGAATAAAGATTTAGAACATAAGAAAATCATTACCTATGAAAACGTTGGAGAAGCTCAAGTATGTCATTTATATTTATTTGATTTTTCTAATTATTGATCTGTCTCTTAAGTATATTGTCGATAAAATCATCCAAACAATGCATACAATGGAAGTTTAGTTGTTAAATTTTTTTAATTCAAGAAATATTCTAGACAATAATTTATGAATGAATGCATTTTGCACTGATTTTTAAATTTTATAAATATATTTATTCTAGCAATTATTGTAAAGCAAAAGATAATTCATCAAGCAGGCATAAGGATTATATTTTATTTAGTAAAATTAAGTTACTCTGTCAAGATCATTCACCTCAATAACCACTTTTCCTGTTACTTTACGAGACATCAGTCTATCATAGGCATCGAGTGCATCTGTAAATTTATATGTAGAATCAATCACAGCTTTCATAGCTCCTTCTTTAATTAACTTCGCCAAAGCAACCATTCGTGAGTGATTCGGTCTGACACCCTCGAATATATGTCTGCGAGGTACACCTCCAAGATAGACAGGTACAACCATTGCACTTAAGAATTGTAAGATTCTCTTTGTAGCCAACCATACTGTAGAACCTAAAATAGAAAGAAACACGAGTTAATCAATCAAAAATAGAATATGATTTATTATTAATCATAGATTACCAAATTCGACTATGCCAACAGTACAGAACAAACCCGAGGGTGTCAAATAATCGGGTGAATTGGAGTAGAGTGCATGATCACTACCTACAGTATCGAGGATTACATCAAATGGACGTGAACTGTAGTGCTCTCGAAGATAATCTGGCAAAACATGTGATGTGTAATCTATCACCTTATTAAAAAAGTAAATGTATTTATTCTTAGGAAAAAAAGCATACTTCGTCTGCGCCTAGATTTCGAACAATATCGCTTTTGGCTGGAGAGCATGTTGCTACTACCAGACCTGTAGGTCCAACAATTGAACGCGCCAGTTGAATTGCCATTACACCGACGCCTCCTGATCCACCATTAATAAAAACCTTCTCTCCTTTCTTCAAGTTAGCCCTTTCAACTAAGAAACAATATACCGTGTAGACTAAAATATATATATATATTATACTAGAAAAGTAAAAATGGTTAGTACCTGTAGCTGTGAAGCATGAAGCATCCTTAAGTGAGATATTATCAGGTACCTTGACGATATGACCACGCTTTGCAAGTACATACTCACGTAGCACTCCTTGTGTAATATCTCGAATGCCTGTAGGACCGGTTCCACATACTCGATCACCTTTTAAAAAATTACGAATTGTTGACAAACTAAAATGTAATTGATTAATGTTACCTGTATTAAATTCTGTTACATTTGCACCTCGTAAATCACAGACAATTCCACTGAAGTCCACTTCGGGCACAGCAGGTCTGCCTATGAATGCACCTATGGGATCGACGACACCATAATATGCTATAAGCCGATATGCTATCGACGAATTCAATGAAACATGACTAATCTGTACAAGTACTTCATCATCGGCGCATGTAGTTGGGATGGGTACTTCGACCATTGTTAAAACATCTCGAGGATTTCCAGCTTTTGTGAACTGCCATTGCTTCATCATCTGACTATGATCGGCGGTTGTCATGTTTGATCTTTTTCGAATGAAAATAAACGAAAAAGTATTAAAGATACATGTCATAAAGGAGAAATGATAGTGTTATTGTGTTATATAAAAGACACAATAAAACAAGAAAATATAATCCCTCATTCACGTTGATATTCAATTTATGTCTGTCAAACTAATTGTATGGATTAGAATGTGTAAGCTTGTGAGTCATTCTTATCTCTCAATAAAACACCAATAGACGTCTAGGACAGAGGCTGAAATTTATATGTAATGGATGCATTCTTTCTTTCTTTCTATTTTTTTTTTTGTATACACATTGTATAAGCGAGAGATAGTATGCGTCACATGTATGATACAACAGAGTCTGAAAGGAATACAAATAAAATAAATTATAATTCAAAGATTTATTAGTTCATATAGAAAAACTGTCTTTTCTAATAAAGTTTGTAATTTTAATGATGATCATTATGATGATGGCTAAGATGGTGTCTAACTTTCATCAGAGTAGTTCCTAATTGATTTCTTCCTGTTCCATCTCCTCCATCACCCCAATAAGAATCATTTTTTGTATGTTCAATTAAAGTACGATCACCAGTCGATAATAATAATTCTTTCAGTTTTGGATGTTGTTGAAATTTTGCTAAACATGCGTCATACATAATATCATCTTTTACATAATCCCAATCGGAACGTACTAATGAAGTATGAGCTCGAGCATAATCAAATGCTTTTCGAGGAGTAGGTGATTCTAAAATATGCATATATTGCTCTCTTTGTAAAATAAACTTTTGTGCTTGAAAATATTGTTCACTTGTTGGCCAAGTGAGTCCATCTAATTGAATTGGAGCCGGATAAAAATTACCAAATTCACCATATGGTGCATCAAGATCATAGAAATAAATAGGTTCATCCGTCATATTCTTTGTTTTGTTAAAATCTTGTGTTTTATAATATGTAAAGCTTCGTTTTTTTGTCACGTATGGTAAATATATATAAAAACAATATTCGCACGCCTTTTTTTTATAAAGGTATAGTGGAAAAAGAAAGAAAGAATAATATCTCCTTTGATTGGCTCGTAACGTTAAATGTAGTTAGTCGTCTTTACCTGAAGATATATTACTTGATTTTTCGTTACAGAATCAGAATAAATACTAAATCATGTTCGCTATAACTTATATTCTGTTAATTTATTTCATAAAGAATATTTATCAATGACAAATTTTAACCTTTAGTATGTATGATCTGATGATAAAAAGTGAAAAATCAATGTGTTTCTCTGATTCTAGAATTATAAAGCGTATTTTTTCAACATGAGCCATAATCAGTTATCCTGAGAATAGTTTTTGCAAACTTCTGATCGAATGGAAGTTACTCAACTGACTTTTTCAAAGAAAAAGCAATATTTGTTATTAAAGGATGACCACTTTCTAATTTAAGATAATAAATATTAGAAAAATAAGTGTTAACAAAAATTAATTTTTTTTTGAATTAGAGAATGTTGAGAATAGCTCCTGAATATCATCCTCGAGATAGGTCGATGGAGACGTCGCATTATCTTTAGAATGAAAAATAACAATTATATATGATAAATTATAGAGTCGATGAGTGTTTCTTCATTTCTAGTCACATTAAGCAAAACAACGAAGTTCTTTGGAATTCATCAGGTAATCCAATTTTTTAAGTCTGTATAAATGATCAATGAAAAGATATTTGTGTTTATTTATTAATGATATCTGACATTAGTATCATAAGTGAAAGAATATAGATTTTAGAATTATTTCAAGAACATGTGTTAAACGATATTGAGTGTATAGATGAGTGAAAATGGTTAATAGATGAATATAATTACTATACGTACATTCTCATCCGAATCAGGACACCCGTACACCGTTAAAGATAAAACATTCTTCGTGAGAGTGTGGGTATGACATGACAGAAATATTACTGATATACCAACAATCTCACTCACACCCTCAAGATAGAAGTTTAGTCGTTAAATTTTTTCGATTCATGAAATATTCTAGACAATAATTTATGAATGAATGCATTTTGTATTGATTTTTAAATTTTATAAATATATTTTTTTGTAGCACAATAACATCTATTGTCGTTTAGCAATTATTTGGTGAATATTTATACTCATCACTAACTATTCTTGAGTAAAAGTAAAATGTGGTAAATATCGCACCGTAGAAAAGCAATAATGTGTAAATAATCATGGTATGTTCCATTATAGATTTTATTAATCAAATTTATATTCAATTATGATTTATCGCCATTTTATTAAACACACATAAACATATGACGATGATCATAGAGACACAATTTTCATTTCATTTTTACTAGAATAACAAATTAATTTCAATATAATTTTCTTTAATCAAATTTCATAATAATTTCTTAAATAGTAAATCTTATTCAATAACAATCATTTTTGTCACTTTATGAATATATTTATCATAAAATCAAATCTATTTGTCATTCTATGCTATGATAAAGATAATCATATTGTACATCATTCAACTTTCAATCAGTTTTTTATTTTAACTTTTTCCATACAAATCTCAAGAAAATAATATAATAATTATTCATATATTTTACAATTCTTCTTTCTTTTCAATTGATTGAGGAAGATAAATTATCTAATTTATTTATTTGAAATTTGTTAAAATCAATTCTGTGAATAAATCATCTTAGTTATCATTCATATTTTATTTATAAAACATCGTCACTATTATCTCTTGTTCTTTCTTTATTATTTCAATGCTGACAAAAAACGATATCATCAAACCTTATTTTATCACAAAATCGATCAATTCCTCTTATCACTTTATCAGACTTAATAAATTCAAAATTGAAATAACAAATATTTCATTATCATTATTCTCAACACAATAGATTAACTTAAATCAACTAATAAATTTATGTATTTTAAAAATAATTTTATTTACACAAAAAACATTAATTCGATCTATTTCATTTTATCATTCATTTTATTTATTCATATACTCACAACTTTAAAACACCACAATATTCTTCCATGTTACTTTTCTATTCTCTCAAGGTATCACATATTCAATAGAATTTAAAACTCCCTTCGATATGTATCTCAATGGAATCACAAAATCTTATCTTAATTATTAAAATACAGTATTAAATCAACCACAACAAAACTAACAAATAAATCAAAGTTAATTAAATTATTAACAAAAATTCATTTTGAATTTTTACATTTATTTAGTTTTCAATCAAAATAAACAATAATATTTTCACAAAAAATTTAATTATTCATTTCATCATCAATCTCAACAAGTTTAATACAAATCAATATCAAATTTTTGTATTCGATGATTCCAACAATCGACAACATAAAGATTACTTTGAACATCAAATGTTAAACCTCTGGGATAATTAAACTGGTTTCGTTGTTCTCCTTTTCCATTTCCACCAACAACAATACTACCTTCCTTAGATCCTTTACACCAACGCATTATTCGATGATTATCACGGTCAGCCACATAAACATTACCCAAATGATCGACAATCACTCCATAAGGATTAGACAATTGTGTCAAACTATCTCCTTCACTATTTCCACCAGCAACAACAATACCTTCTTTTGCCCCTTTCATCCATTTCATCACACGATGATTGTAGAGATCTGATACATAAACTGAGTGATCTTCATCAACGAAGATATGAGTAGGAAGATGAAGCTGATTGAGTTGATTTCCTTGTCCGTTTCCACCTGCAACTATTGTTCCTTCTGTCTCTCCTTGTTTCCATCGTCTCACTTCGTTGTTCGCATAGTCAGAGACATAAAGATCTCCATTTTTATCCATTGTCAGACCATAACAATCAATGTTAGAAATGATTGTTTCTCCTTTTTTATCATTTTGACGAGGCCATCGTACCACTCGACTGTTTCCATAATCAGAAATTATAATAGAATCATTCGTTTTATCAACAATCATATCTCTTGGACCACTTAATTGATCACTTCGATTTCCATATTCATTTCTATCTGCAACAATTTGCCCTGTCTTTGCTCCATATTCCCATTCAACAATACGATGATTTTCCCAATCAGCAATATAAATAGTTTGATGATCATCATCAATATAGATACTACGAGGATGATCGAGTTGATTTAACTGATTGCCACTTTTATTTCCTCCAGCAATAGTAACTCCATGTTGTTTCCATTTTGTTTTGATATTAATATGATTGAAAAGAAAAGATTGCTCTAAGAGAAAAACGATTTTATTTATATTTGAATGAAACTGATATATAAATGTAAATAAAAAATTGTTATTTTAAAATGTAATAAAATAAAAATGATATAAATTAATTTAATTGTAATTTGAATTCAATCTAATTTAAAATTTATTTAATAAAATTGTTTCTCTATTTGAAAATAAATTTAATTAATTTGATTTGAATGGATTTTTTTATCTTTGGTTCTGATGATTTTTTAAAATAGATCTTAAAGTATGAAGAATTAATCGCATTCATATCGAAATCAATTTAATAAAAGAGAATAAAATGAATGAGAAAAGAATTGTCAATATTGTTCATAATGATACAAAACTATTTTAACTTTTTTTCTTGATGCAATTTGTATAAATACATCGAATTGATATAAAAAGAAAACGTTTATATTTCTCATATTTATCCAAATATGACTATTTTTCATAAATCTAGTTTTATCTTTCTACATTTTCTATTTTGTCGGTAAATAATTTATTTTTATTTTGAATTGAAAAAGAATTGAAATTGTTTATTTGCTAATCATTACAATATCAAAAAACATTATTTTAAACCTTTTAAATAAAAGATTTTTGATTTTCAATCTAATCTTAAATGAGTTTTATGTAAATATGATGATCAACGCCTCTACAACCCATACTGTATGTATATTGTGGACAAAAATCAAGCATGTAAAGCTTACTCTCGACACTTCTCTGTAGCATTCATCCTGGAACAATGATTACTCTAATGGACTCAGTGTAGTTCATTTTGAAATTTTTGGACTACAAATGGGGACGATAAACATTTTAAGGCGAAAAAAGTAGAAAATGTCATGGATATGATCGTTTATCATAAGTCATGTCAATAATCTTAGTTGGATAAAAGCAAACATCGATAAACGTTTGAGAAAAATAAATTTCGATAATATTCGAATAGTGATCTATTCTACCTTTTTTACGTTTCGACACACGTTACGCTAACACAAGATGCGACGAATTGAAATGAAGTTTTTCATTGTTAAAAGAGATTTTGATCGTGAGACGTCCTGCTGTTACAAGGATAAGATATAGATGTGATAATGTTTTAAAAGCTAAGCCGTACCAGCACACACAGAGCTTAGAGATCGAATAAGATCTTACGTCAGACTGCTATAAAATATAAACAAGTGTTGAGGTGTTCAGGTATCCATCTGATCTACTCTCCCTCTTTCGAATTTTCGCATCTTCCGAAAAATAAATGAAATATATATCGTAGTTCTTACCCTTTGTCAGCCGCCCATTTGTCTCTTCCAACATTACGTACCAATATGGCCGTTCTGATATCTTCAGATACATCAAACTCTGGTTCTCGTATAAGGATTTTAGCTGTTGAACATCATCAATGTTTACTTGATTATGATAAAACTCAAGATGCCTCAACGTGTGATGTTCTTGAGTGGCTTGAACAAATGCCTGTGTAAAATCATGTGTAATAACAGATTCAGATATACGAAGGCATGAAATAAATTGATCATTTTTCAATGAGTCTATCAGACTAGCTTCTTTTCCATCCGATGGTTGAATATTTTGTACATGCAGACTGAGATACTTGATTGATTTGTGTTCTTTCAAAGTATTCAAAAGATTAATAATGAAAGTTTCGTCTTCGAAACCAGTCTGATCCATAATATCGATTTCTGTAAGTGTTTGATTGATTTGCAACATTTCACAGAAACATGATAAAGTCGATGGTATATGTAACGAATTTTTGAATTTTAGTTGATATAATGTTTTCATTTTAGAATTGAACAGAGCATTCATGACATCAACATTGTTAGAATGTTCCACAATCAATCCTGTCACTATTCCTCTTGTTTCAGAGAACTTCGGAAGATCACGTTCGTGATCCATAAAATCAGAAGCAGAAATATTGAACGTTCGACGTATCTTGTTTTGTAGCAAGAGTTGATGAAGCATTGATGTATGCCCATCTTGGAAATTATCGTAGAAGCGAACTTGGAAGGATTGATTATTGAATTCTGCAGTCATGCATTTGCAGACATAGTTCATCAGTCTTAACCGACTGAAAACAGAAACGGCAAACATGTTAAGACAGTGAATCGAAGAGCGATTAATGACAACATCAAGCAACATGACAAGATCATCTTCCTTAAGTTTACACTCTTTAAATGTTAATTTTAGAACGTTGAAACCTTTGGTGAGTGCTTCACACAATATTTGGACACTCTTGCTACTCGAATCCTTTGGACTCATTACTGCTTCTCTAGTATTCAGATCGAATTTACCTCCCATGGCTTCCAGCTGATCGGTATATTTGAGCATCGCATTATTAAAGCTGATATCGTCATAGTGCTCTAGGCACACCCAACGCACATGCCCATCAGCGGTGACTATTCGGTACAGGTCTCCTAAACTACGTTTATTATCGGTAACGTCCAGATACTTCTCAACTTCACGCAGATCTGGTTCTTGAAGTGGCAATCCACGTGACTTATCTTGTCCGACTATTGTTGAATTTGACTGTGTCCATTGATGGTCGAGTAATTTCTCAACCAAGTTTAGTTGCTGCTGCATCTCTTTCTGCTTATTGAATGTCGATAAGATCGTATCTACATCACTACTAGCAGCCTGTGACACGCTATCTAGTTGTGGAACAACAAAACTTCCAAGTTTGAATAGAATTTGAGCAATTTTCAATGTTGTTCGTAAATAAGGTCCATACTTGACTAGGAATTCTCTTGTTTTTTTAATTGAATAGCCGTTATGTGGAGCTACATGCATTTGATCGGGCTCATCTGAACATTCACATAGAAAATAGAGTTTGTAATGGAGATGATACAACTCCTGCACCTTGTTGAGTATTTTCCAATTGCTGTGCTTTGCCGGTAATATGAAAAAGTAGCGAGGTGTAGTGAACTCATACAATTCATACATCTGTGTCATGACGTCCTTTACTTGATTTATAATCTTTTGTGTATTAGCATCAACGCGAGCACAAACTGTATCATTCGGTTGCTCTACAATAAAAGTGATAAATATAAAATTTTAATGTTGTAAGTAGCCCGCGTAGGGATAGGACAGTTCACAATTTCAAGTTCAGATGAGCCGGTCAAAAGAACCGCCAATACAGTTCTTTCGAAGGGAACTGAACTGTCTCAACAGTTCTTTCAGAGGAACTGGTCTGTTTCAAAACCGTTTTTATTTCTGAAAAACTAGTTTTCAGACAGTTCAGTTCCTGTCAAAAGAACTATTATACATTTTTTAAGAACAGAACTAATATGGAACTGTCCTACCCCTAAGTCCGCTTCGTGTTTGCAGTGAAATATATTTTAAAAATACAAAACTTTACAAAAACTCGATAGATACTATCTAATGAGATATATTTGTCTATTTTTATACAAAGCTGATCTCATAAATAATGTAATTTACTTTATATATTCTATAAAATTAATTCATCTTGAAAACATTTTGCGCTCAAAACGTTGACGACAAATGTAATGATGCGCTATTTTCAAAGCACCGCAATTATTTATATTATGAATGAATCAGTCTTACTACACACATTATTTTATCATAAAAATAGAATGGAAAAAAAAGATGATGATATTTTCATAGGCTTGAAATCTTCTCAATTATCAATTATAAAATGATGTTACAAAGTATTTTTCGTATTTATACCGATTAAAAATTATTCTAGACTTACCGTTTGTAATTTGTTCATTTAAATAAACTTTTCGTCGAAGCGCAGATACTCGAAATGGGCATTGATCATCGTTTGTTTCTTTCATTACACCATCACACACATTAGACATTATTTCATCAATAGTTAAATTTGGTTGATCAATATGTTGAAGAAGATGAGATATAAATATACTATTTCGACCATTTGTTGATTCATCTAATGCAACTTCATTTGCATCACATGCGAAACAAATAAACGAATCAGCAACCGCTCGCATACTTGAAAGATCATTAGAATGTGATGATTCGCGTACAAAACTATTTCGACAACAATCAAGAAGAAATATAGCTGCTAACGGACGACGACTCATGATCCTTTCAAGCGTAGCTTGAGCATTTATTGTTCGATATTCAAGATCAGTATTTGTTTCAATTTGATCATCATGAACGGGTACAAGAAAATTTAGGTGACTCCATTGACATCCAAGACCTGCAAAAAAGAAAAGAATAAGATCACCTGGATTTATCGTATCGTGAAACGTTTTGATCTTTCTCTTCATTTGTGCATATGTCAAATTAGTATCAACTGTGATTTCAAAGTCAATGCTACATAATTTATTAGCAAGGTCTTCAGCATCATTCGTACAATATCGACGTCGCCTATTGTTCTTGTATTCATTGTTGCCAATGAGAAGAGCTCGTTTTGTATAAATTGAGTTCTTTGATGATGTAAAACCGGAAGCCATAATCTATCTATAAATTTAAAAAGATTCACTAAGTTTTTGTAAAAAACCAGACAAAACTAGAGGTACTTTCTGATGAAATTTCTGTTTGAATTTACAGAGATTCTGAAAACTGCTGTTTTTGCATTTTATAGACTGGTATATTTTATTAGAATTTAATTAATGACACAGTATATAATAGGAAAGATACCCTTAAAAGAGCTTTTGATATGAACACAAATAATAAAATGTTCATAGTTAAACGTTCTTTAAATAGCTTATCAAGCTACCACAAAATACTTTAGTGAGTAACACGACAGTTACTCCCAGTAAATTAATCACGCAACAATAAGAAGAGTAAGGGTGAGGATGAAGCAAAGATAAGAACTTGAATTCTATTTGGCTCAAGATTAGATAGAGAAGTTGGCTGACTGCACAAACCGCGCAAGTGTTAGGCTACAATTGCATATGACATCTACTAATTCTCAATGTAAGGCTCACGATGAAGAAATTATAATGAATTTAAATAGGGTGTAGCTATTTTCGATCAGCAGAAAAGTGAGAGATGAGGGTGTAGGTATAGGTGACGGTGAGACAGATACAGTATAGACACCCATATCACACTCTCAAGAACAATTTACTCGAGACTCTAGAATATTGAGTTACAATGTTTAGTTCTAGACCAAACAACTTCCTTTATTATAGCTCCGATATTGGTCTCAGTTCTGATCCATCCAATCGACAACAAAATTAATTCTGCATGCTCATAGTAACAAAAGTAACAATGCTACTGGAGTGAAGTGATGTAATGACTGTTGAAACATTTTTCTAAATATCACCGCGACGATGAGAATCTTTTTTATACTTCATCAGAACACAAAGATTTCTTTTGTAAAGCTGCAGCAGATCTTCAGCCGTTATGAGCATATGAATCATCTTATCTTCTACCTACATCATAATAATGGGTGTTCTTTCTTAACTCAACTATATACAACTTTTACCGATATTAGCTTATTTACTGCCTTATCCATGTCAATACGTGAATAATATTCCTTAGAGTAATTAATAAAAATGTTTTGTGTATACAACATAAATAATGATATTATTTGATGTTAAAATAAAATCCTGATTGAATAACATTAATTTACCTTAGAAAACGAAGCGAAATGCAATAAGATGTTTTGGAAAAGATGACTAAGACAATAAAAATGAATGAGTTAGATGAAAATTAATTCTTTATATACACGTTGTCTATCTCTGTTTTTTGTATTCGTCTGAATTTATAAGCAGTAGCTTCTGTTTGTCTCTTTTCTCTGTTCTTATCAATAGATAAATGACTTTATCACAAGCAAACGGAAACTAAAAATGCAGTAGAATCAAAGTTGTTTGAGAAAGTCTGTTTTGATAAAAGCGAGTGAGTCAGACAAAAGAACGCAAACATACGGGGCAAACAGCAGACGATATTGAAAACATTGAATTGTCATAAAAATATTCGAGAATATGTGTTACATACGAAACGAAATATTGAGTAACGTCTACAAATGATCACAAGAGCAAATAACTTTAGAAATAGAATTAAAGAATTAACAAACTATTCTGTCATGATTTAGTATCTCTCTTATCAGGGAGAAGTTCAGCATTTACTGCAAAAAGCAAATTTCATTTTTTAATAAGTCGAAGCAACAGGAAAATATTTGAACTTGTGAACAAAGTTGAAAAATAAATATGAACTTTATCTCACTTGTTCAAGTCATATCACTCTCAATAGTCTTGTCGATATTAACTTTATTTTTTACTTTGTTTTAAAACATTCACGAACAGATTTTCATCTACAAAAGAAAATTGCTGAGATTAAAGCTCCTCAAGTCGATTCTTGTTCCGATCGAGTTTGGATCTAAAAGTATAAGAAGCCATAGTTTCTAATTATCCGTAAGAGATAAATATAAGTTGATTACTATAAAATCATTACGAGAATTTCTTGAGAAATGTGTAACGTACATTAACCGACAAATAATAGCTCACATCTTCAGAGTAACACTTGAATTTCGATTAGAAAATTGTACTAAGGATATTATGACAACAGTTCATATCTCTTGTATTGATTGAATTCTAACTTGAATATTCTTTGTTGTAAGAAGAATGATTTGATTATTATTATTATATTTAAACGTAGAACTAGAATTTAATTTGTAGAAATATAAAAGATATTTTTTATTTTCTAATAAAAACAAAGTTAAAAATTTGATCAATTGAAAGAATTTTCAAATAAAACAAATGACAATAATCTAATAAATTCAGATCTTATAAATTTAATACGTTTATCTGTCATTTTCATTTTTTGTTTCTTTTTGTAGATAAACTAGTTTTCTCTTGAAAATTGTTAATAATTTTGTATTTAATTCATAAATAAATTTTTCTCTATGAGAAATAATTTAGAATCAATTAAAACTATTTATAATCATTTCAAATAACTTTTCCTATTTTCATACTATTTATTAATGATTAAATTAATTTGTTATTAAAATTGAATAAATTCTTGGAAATAATTTTCTATAAAATATTTCTTTTATATTATTTAAATAAATTCATAAATTAAACGTTTCAACTTATTTATTTAGCAATATCTTTCACGTAGATACTCTTAAAATGGCTGTAAGACTGATTATATGTTATTGCAAAGCACAAGATAATTCATGAAGCAGGCATAAGGATTATATTTTATTTAGTAAAATTAAGTTACTCTGTCAAGGTCATTCACCTCAATAACCACTTTTCCTGTTACTTTACGAGACATTATTCTATCGTAGGCATCGAGTGCATCGCTAAATTTATATGGGTAAATACGTGGGAAACCTACCACGTTTTGGAAAAAGTTTTTTTTCGATTTTTTTTTTGACAGAAAGACTTAAACGATCGAGAAAACATTATTCGCCGAAAAAAAAAAAAACTTTTTTGTTGAATTCCTGAAGTTCTAAGTCGTTTTCTCGGAACCTCTATATATGTATCACATGTTCGAGCCATCATATCAATAGATGGCGACTAAATATTCAAACCAAGGGTTTTTATCACTTTTTATCGCTCAGAAAGATAGAAGCATTATAGAAAATGTGATTTGTCAAAAAAAAAAGTATTATTTCTAATAAAATGGTCGAGTTCTAGGTCATTTTTTCAAAAAAAAAATTTTTTTTAAGATAATTGATAGTGATGAAATTTTTTTTTTTTTCAAATTTAATTCTGTTATCGAAGCTACAAATGAACTCTTGTCATGTCAGTAGCTTGTCCACATGAGAGTGTAGTAGGAGGAAGTGCACTCGTACTTTGATAATCTTCTTATGGAAGTTCTGCTTGAGTATTTCCTTTCTGGCATATGATTATCGTTTTTATATCAATGAGTTTCATGTTTGTGAAACCATATGAGGAAAACGAATGCCTAGAATTTACATTCAGACATACTGACCGATGATCAAATCAAATTAAAACGTCCCTTCTAGATAAGGACATCTGTAGGTACGGAGTTCGATATACAGTTATCTTAATTTCAACCCGTAGAAAAATAAAGTGACTAATCGTTATAATAAAATAAGACTTGTACTATTATTTTTCGCCCTATCTCTTTTTACAATCACAATGCCAAGACGAAAGTATTGCAACCATCCAACAAGACATAGACACTCTACATCCAATGCAAAAGGAATAGTTCTAGTTTCTGCGAAATTATCTAAATTTTTAACTGCACGATATGATCTTAATGATACTCATATCCGCCGGCTTTGTCCATTGTGTCACACATTAGAAACAAAAGAAATGAAAAATTATCAATCAACAGAAACTAGTGATAGTCGAAGTTCAGGTGACAATGAATCCATAACGCAGAACTGCTATAATGACAATGATGGTGTTCAATCTATGAACGTTGAAGTTATGGATGATGATGAATCTATGGATGATGATGAATCTATTAATGGTGAATCACATGATGATGGTGAATCAGATGGCAGTGAACCAGATGATGGTGAGTCAGATGATGAAAAATGTATGGATGATGGTGAATCGGATGATGATAAATTGGATGATGGTGAATCAGATGATGGCGAATCGGATGATGGTGAATCAGATGATGGTGAATCGGATGATGGTGA